TCGCCCCAAGCCCTGCCCCGTGCCCCGCCCCCAGGACACCGCGCGCGCCGCCGTTTCCGGCGAGACCTTGAACCCGGCCCGGGGGTCGGACCCGCCTGTCCATCTGCGCAGACGATCGGGAGAGCAGCTCGAGTACCTGGGAAGTGTCGTCATCCTATTTTAGGTCAGTTTTGCGTTTTCGGAGTTATTTAGAGGCTTCTCTGTCGCCTGCTTTGCGTCCCCCGATCCGGACGGGGCGTCGGGCCGCGTCGCCGGTGCTTTTGTCGCCGCTCGTTGTCCGCGTTCCGTGGAGTGGGTTTGAATCCCGCGGGAACCCTGCGCTCCGGAGGCGGGTGCTTAGCCGCGGAGCACGGTGCCGATTTGTTTCCTGGAGGTTTCATTGCTCCCTGTCTTGAAGCACAAGGTAAGTGCCGCTCCGAATGCATGCCCCTGGGCACGGCTCCAAGGCCCTCGCCCACCCCCAGTTTTTATGGAAACTTAATTCTTTAAACAGAGCAAAAGGGGCGTGCGTTACTTTCAATCTTGTTGGACTCCCTGATACAACGTACGTTTTTAAAGAAAATAGTTACTTTTCCAAGGGTGCGGTGTCACCTGCAACTATGACTAGGGTGTTTCCGTGTAGTACTTTGTCCTCCCCTCCCCCTTTCCCAGTCCAACTGTGATTTGTATGCAGAAGGTTCTAAAGGTTCACAAACGTTGAGTATTTTAATAATTTCATTCTTGGAGCAGGGGTGAAAAGCAGCACCTCTACCCCCCTCCCCCAAAGAGACACTAAAATCGTTGATTTAAAGGCATGGGAGTATTTGCTTTCCGATGTAGTAATAACTTGGGTAACCGGTGAAAGGGTTAATAGTCGCCTCTCCAGAGCTGGTCTTGAATCTTGCTCAGTTTCCCGTGGGCCTTTGTTACTAGAATTGAGGGCGTTACAAAAATGGTTGGTATCTGTTCAGTATTTACCACGGGCCAAGCACTTTCACATACTACCACACTTGAATGCTTACAATAGCCCCAGGAAATGGTGCAGTGAAGGAAACCGGGGTTTAGAGAGGGTGGGTAGCTTGCCCGTTACTTCTTAGCTACTAAGGGCTAGAGCTGGAACTCGGACCCACTTCTTTCTGACTGTTCGAGAGCTGTGCTTTTAACCACCTTTGATCCAGCTGCAGGTGCAGGCCTGGTGTAGTCTCCTGTCTGGACAGTGGGAAGAGAGCAACGCAGAAGGACCCCGGCTCACTGTAAGTGCACAGTAAAGGGGAACGGAGTAGCCAGGAGCTTCTCAAATCCAGAGTTCCTTTCCCCAGCTGAAAAGAGCTTTGAGAGGAAACTGCCTTGGGCAGCATGGGGTGTGGGAGGAACACTGGACAGGCCTCTGGGGACTTGGGTTTGCGTTCCAGCCCTGCCACTGACTAGTCATCCAGCCTCTGTAGGCTTCGTTTTCATTTGTAGGGTGATAGGATATGTCTGGAATGATGACCTTTTATCCCATCCTATGATTATGTGGTTTGCTTTTAAACCGTGACTGGCACTGATTTCTCGCTCTTGCCTTTTCAGAGTGCCTTTACATTGGTTTGGCTTTAGCTGTGCAGCACTGATTGCTTCTGGTGGGATCATTGGCTATGCAAAAGCAGGTAAGGTTTTGTAGGTACTTAGCCTCTTGGAGAGAGTCCTCAGGGTTCCCAAAGAGCAGTCCCGCTTGAGTCAAGTTTGCCATAGGCCTTCCTTGAGCGCAGGGTTGGTTGTCAGTCCTGTAGCTTCTCCTGCACGCACTTGTGGTTATCTGGTCGAGCCAAGCCAGGCTTCTTGTCCGGTCACTTGTTTTTGCCTCTTTATCTAAAGATAGGCGGGGGTGGTAGTAAGTTATTATCATTGACTGCCATATATTAGCCTGGACCCTAAAGTGCCATCTCTGGGCTCTTCAAGTAGGAGCAAACCTCTAATCTTCACATACTCGTTTTTTGAAGTCTCCTCATTAAACTAGGTAGAGCGTGTCAGTGAATGTGCTTGTTTCTACCTCCTCCACCCCCATCCTTATCTGCATCCCCACTCCAACATGCACACACCAGAATTCTTATTCTCCAATTTTTTTAAACTGACTGGCCCTGTTTCCCTTTCATTTTGTGATTTACATGAAGTCCTGCACATACACAATTCAAGCCTTTGGTTGATCGGGCCTGGTTTAAGGATGGAAGATCTTTTCCCTTCTTAGATGGAAGTGCCCTTTTCCCTCCTCGGATGGAAAAGTCCTACCTGTTAGAGGAGAGGGGAATGGGGTGGGAAGACTCTGGCTTCTCTGGTAAGATAGCAAACTCCCCCCAACATTTTCCTGCTTGAGAAAGCCTTGGTTATGAACCGTGCTGAGAAAAGTTCTGTGTGCTGTGTTCCTCTGTAGGGAAGGGGAGTCAAGTGTCTGACCTTACAGCGCAGGCCTGTGTTTGCTTCCCTCTAGGTAGCATGCCGTCCTTGGCTGCCGGGCTCCTCTTTGGGGACTTAGCAGGCCTGGGTGCTTACCAGCTGTCTCAGGATCCGAGGAACGTCTGGGTTTTCCTAGGTGCGTCTGCCTCAGTGTCTCAGCGCAGCTATGTATCCAGAATACTCAACTGAAAGGCCCTGGTTTGGTGGGATGTGGCAGGTTCCTCACACTTCTGACAGTTTCTGTGCTTCTGCCAAGTGCTAAGAAAGTTTTAAAATGGGGTGGGGGTGGGGGTGTGCTAGTCTCTGTTTATCTTTTATGTACAGGATATGGAAAGGTTTTCATACATCACGAATTTAGATTTACCCAATGAAATTAGTACTCTCCTTGTACAAGCTAAGTATGTGCCTGTTAACCGTGAAGGTTGCCTGCTGAAGACTGTCTGCAGGGGCACTACTGAAATACCACACTTGTGGGTCATGTTTGGATCACTACTGTGTTTTTCCCATTTGAAAATCACTTACCTCTATAGCAGTCAGCTAAGAGTGACTCTTTGGTCCTAGCGATCAGCTTTGAGAAGTCTAAGGCTACCCACAGATGGGCTGCAAGAGGTCTTGGTTGCCTGGCAGCAGTGATATAATGCCCTTGCCAAGTCCCCTCCTCCCCCTTACCTGCAGTTTCTGGAAATTTAGTGTCCTAAGGATTGTGCTCAGTCCTAGAGGTACAAAGTACAACAACGTACATAGAACTAGTCATGGTGCCTGCCCTTGAGTCTAGTGGAAGCGACCGACATCCCAAGTATGTAATAGAAGCAGGTACAAATTACTAAGAGAAACAAAGAAGGGAATGCGTGGTTCTATTCAGAGAGTACAGGAAGTCTTCACAGGGGAGATGAGAGGTAAGCCGAGTCTTACAGAGTGAGGAATTCACAGACAAGGACAGGGACAGATGTTGCAGGTAGAGGGAGCACTAACACACACACACCTGCGAGGCCTGAAACTATGACACAGTTGGATAACTCCAGGTCCTTTCATATGACTGGATTAAAGGGTGTAAGGTTGGCAGCAGGAGATGACAGTGCAAGGCAGACATCACATCTTTGCATCTCAGGCTAAAGAGTTTGAGCTCAATCTGTTTTTTCTTCTCATTTTTTTTTCTGTGACAACAGCAAGAATTATGTAGTAGGAGATGGTGCTGTGGAATGATAGAATTGTGTCCCTCAAAGTTCATAATTACAAGCTTGATTCCCACTTTAACTGTTGAAGGTAGGAAATCCTATTATGGTATTGAAGGGTGTGGCCTTAAGAGGTGATTAGATGGTAGGACCATGCCATAATGAGTGGATTAATAAGGTGGTCAGGGGCATGGTTCTGAGGGCTTTAAAAGGAGAGCACTTGAAGGTCTCTCTCTCTCTGTCCTGCCATTCTCACCATGTGACACCCTGCATTGCTGTAGGATCTCCTCCCCAGATGTGTCCCCTGAACTTTGGACTTCCCAGCCTCCAAAACTCCAATAAATTTCATTTTCTTACAAATGACCCAGTTCCAGGTATTTTGTTAGAAGCAACAGAAATGGACTAAAACAGAAAATTAGTACCAGAGCAGTGGGGGTGTTGCTTATAACAAGTACTTGAAAATGTGGAAATGGCTTTGGAACTGCGTGTTGAGAGGCCAGAGGAATTTGGAGGAGCAGGCTAGAAAAGGCCTAGATGCCGGTGTAAGTTTAGAAGACAAGAAAACCAGGGAAAGTTTGGAATGTGTCAGAGACTGGTTAAATGGTGGTGACCGGAATACTTACGGAAATATGGACTGTAAAGACCATTCTAAGGAGGTCTCAGGTGTAAATGAAAAGGGACTTATTAGAAACTGGGGCAAAGAACTGCCTTGCTACGAACTGGCAGGGAACTTGGCTGCATTCTGTTCATGCCCAACAGCTTTATGGAATGTGGAACTTAAAGGTGCTGACCCAGGGAATTTGACCCACTTTCAGCCTGGCCATGTGGCAGAGAAGCAGAGAGAGCATTTTCAGGAGAAAAATACAGTGCTGCAGCCCAGTGACCATTTGCTAAGGAGAAGAGTACAGAAGAAAGGGATTATGAAGAGAAGGGGAAAAAGACCTTGAAGACACAGTGCCCCACGTGAGTCACACCTGTACTGTTATAAAAATTGTGACTCTAACCCATATTATTGCCTATGTAGCTTTAGCCTGCACAAATTGTAACAGAGAAATATTATTCCTGTAAGCACTTACTAACGAGGAAAACATATCTAAAGGTATTTTAAGTAAAGCAGCTTTTAAGAGGTCAGGCAGAAGTCAAGGCAGAACCGGGCCCAAGGACTAAACCAGCCCCCCCTTATCTTCTGAACACCTGGCTGGACCAGGGAAAATAAACATGTAACATCTTTTATCGGGGGACTAATGGTGCTAGTCTTTTGAGCTTAACCATAAATCTTAAGGTGCCACAGTTAATTAGCTGCACAGCCTGTTATGAGAGTTTGTCTAAGAAAAGAAAAAAAATGTATAAAAAGCCCTGGTATTGTAAGTTCTGGGCCGCTTATGAAAAAGGCGACCCAGCATATGCTGAATAAACACCTCTTGCTTAAATTGCAGCGATCTCTTGTCTTGTGGTCTCTGTGAGGCGAGTCACTTCGGCGGGTAGGACTTGGGCCCAGGGCACGGATCTTACAGTACTTCTTAAGCAGGAGTGGCACACCTCTCTAGAAGTTACCTTGACAGCTAGATTTATGACACAACTATGAAGAATGAAGTGCTTTTGATTTCTGACAGGCTTTTTAGATCTGTATTTTGCACGATAAACTTAAACAAGTCTGTTTTTAAAGATGTGTTCAACCAGTATTAAGTTTCAGCTTTATCGTTAAGTAAAATAAATGTTTTCTTCTCTCTCTCTCCAAAATAGAGTGTCACCCGCTTAGCCAGACAGAATACTGCACACAGTATTTTACCTATTCTCTATGATAAACACAGTCACTTAGCATGAAATCATTGAAAAAGAAAGATTAACCTCTGTTTGCTTTGGTGTGGGTTTATGAGGAGTTACCAATGCACTCTTAGAAATATGCATTATCTCTGAGCTTTGTAACAAAGCGCAACTGAGTTTGAAGGCTTTGGCATTGACCAAATAAAAAGGACCTTTGTTCAGTTTTAAGGAGATGTCACAGTTTGCTCATTCTGCAGGCGTGGGTGACTTGTCTGGGAAAAGATACTTCTCATATTCAAAGTGAGCTCATAAAGTCCTGCCCTTCAAGTGCTCAAGGACTTCCAATTTTGTGTAAGACTTATGATGTATCTTGATTCTTTGGGGGAGAGATGTTAGATGGAAGTTCAGTTCTCTGCATAGTCCAAAAAGACATATATTGAGGAGAAAAAATCCCTTAAATTAAGATGAACTTTATGTACAAATGCACAATTCTGGAACATAATTGTACTTTATTAGAGTTTTTGATGGAGAAAACAGAGGTATACTCTGCCCTAGAAGTATCTTTCGAGGCTTGGATGTATGTCTGTTGTATGTGTGTGTGTGTGTAGGCAAGGAATAAAAGAAAGTGAGAAGTCAGACTTTATCTTCTTTGGGAGGTTTCATTTCCTCTAAATCTATTTTTTTACTTGTTGGTAAACAAATCATACCACTAAACTTCTGAAGCCCACAGTCTGTAGCAACATAAAGGGAATCTTGAACTACGGAAAGTCCCAGATCACAATCAGACTGGAAGATACCCAATCTCCTTCATGGTCTCTTTACACTGTTTCTTAAAGTGTAGTCCTGGACCACCTTCCCCAGAAATATGCAGAGGGCTCAATCAAATGCAGGCTCCCGGGCCCCAACCCTAATCTAATTCTATTGGATTAGAATCTCTGATGGGAAGGGCCTGGGAATCTGCATTTACACTCACCTTTCAACCTCTCTGGGTGATTCCACATTCAGTAAAATTTTAAATCACACTTTGGTGGTTCAAAACAAGATCCACTGACTCCTCATTTTCTTGTTTGATAGTTTTAGGGACCATATCTTAAACTACCAGAAATATGTAGTTGTGGGTTCACCACCATTTCACAGATTGGAAATTAAAAGAGAAAATGAGCAAGTGAGCAAAGAGAAAATTAAAAGAGAAAATGAGCCAATTGCTTTGTATAGTAAGTCAGTAAAACTGCTAAAATGAAGGGGGGAAAAAAAAAGCCTGATCCCCACTGCACTGGGATTATCTCTTGTGTTGTGGCTTAAGTCACGAGTATGATTCCCGTCCACTGAGAAGATCCTAAAGCCAGGAAGATGTGGACAGAAGTTTTTAAAGCAGTTGCTATTACCTGGAAGGTCAAAATCACCTCTTAGCAGCTAAGGCATCTCCACCATGAAAGGAAGAAAGGAAGGAAGGAAGGGAGGGAAGGAGGGAAGAGTGGTAGGAGGGGAGGAAGGGAAAGAAGGGAAAGGAAAGGAAGAAAGAGGCAAACTCACTCCCATGGGGCTGTGAGCCAGAGGTCAGGGGACACTGGACAGAGACAGGCAGCCTGGAGACCCAGAGGCACTAGGATGCTGTCAAGGGAGGTCAGGATATCTGGAGAGCGCGTGGTATTTGGCAGGGAAGGAGCTGGGACCAGCCCCCCTTCCCTTCTTGGCCATGTTACCACCTCACACCCCACTGCATGAAGACCCTCACTCCAGGCATCACCTGCTCCCCAGCTCTGGTTGCTGGAAGGGCTGACAGAGGTGACAGAAGCTGGCTTCCTCTACAGGACTCACCTCCCTTTTGCTAAACATAAAAGCTTCCACTAAGTGTAGAATTAAAACAAAACCAAACAAAACATGGAGTTTGAGTGCCCAAGGGTCACCCCAACTTCTTGACATCAATCCAAGCGAAGGCGAGTCAAAAAGTCTCTGACCCCTAAAAGCAGGGAGAGCCAGGGAGAAAATCTGCAGTGCAGTTATGGCAAAAGCAACGGGAAGAAATCTGAGGTCTCAGACTTCTCAGACTTGGAAGTGAAAATGTTACACCTAAAACGGAAAACATGTCACCTTCCTGCAGAAGTAAACTATGACTTAAGTTTGGACTCCACCACCTTTCAGCCAAGCATGTCCTGTTCTGGCCTCCCGTCTGCCTCACCTAGCTCAGATGAGGGAGAGCTGTCTTTAAGGTGCGAACAACCAGGACTGAGCATGAGAGAAGTTATTTATTTATAGTGACACCTTTCAGCTGCTCTTTTTCCCCTCTGGAGATAGAGGCCAGGTTCGGCTTTCCCTTTGAATCTAAAACTGCTGGGGTAAGAAGGACGTTAAAAGGTCATGGCTTAGTCTGTCCCCTCTAGCCAGGGATTGTTGTTGTCCTGAGCAATGCAAATGGGAAAGCGAGTGACCACCTCTTGAGAAATTCCCCCTAATGGGCATACACTCAGCTTATGCACCACATGTGCTCTTGAGAAGTGCTTTGTAAAACGTAATTTTTGTATAGAAGGTGATTTGAAAATGCATTAGTGGTTTTATTTAAAGGAATTCAACAATAAATCTTTATTTTCCTTTTTTTTAAAACAAAGGATTCTAATATGCAAATGGATATTCCCTAATTTATATGCATTTGTAAATTTAGACTTCGTATTAGATTTTCTTCAGGCAGGGCACATCTGTATTCAGTGCTCTAAGAGTCAACAAGCTGTTTCTGGTATCTAACTGCATCTTTCCTCCTGTAATTCTGAGATATTTTCTTATGCTGTTCAATTGATTCATTTTTACTACCAAACCTTGAAGGAGTCATTAGAATTTGCTAGTAA